TTTTTACGATTTCATGATATACTAAAAAACAAAATATGTTAAATTATATTGGATTCCAAAAGCCATGTAGGAATACGAGAAATGAAAAAGTAGATGCTTTAGCTAAACAATCATTAAATTTCAAAAAACTGACTTATTGTTTACCTGCTTGTGATTTTAGACCGGCTATAAAATAAACTCGTATCAGCTGAATGGAAAGCAAATTGGGACAATGCCGTTTTTAATAAACTTCACGATATAAACCCATCTCTTGATATGTCACCATCTCTATCTCTGTCAAACCGCCGTGATCAAGCAGTTCTTCTTCGATGCCGAATTGGACACACTAAAATTACCCACTCTTATCTCCTCACAAATGACAATGCCCCTTTCTGTGTAGGTTGTAATGAAAATTTTTTACTGTCAAGCATTTTCTTCTTGAATGTCATGATTTTTCACAGGCCCCGTAATAGATTTTTTTTCTGTAAATTCACTCAAAGAACTTTTTAATACAATTCCATCAAAAAACATAATTGATTATTTAAAAGAGATAAACTTGTATTCTAGGATCTAATTGGCTCATTTCTATTGTCATTTACAATTTTTTTACATAATATTTTAAGCCAATTATAGCATTCGGCACGATATGGCCAGTTATGTGTTGACGTGCCGTAAAAATCCAAACAAACAAACAAACAAACAGTTTGACTGAGCCTGTTCATTGATCATCCAGAATCCAACCTTTATAAACGACACAATTTTTAATATAGAATCTCAAATTTGATATAATATTGACTTTAACTGAAAACGGCGTATGCCTACAAACTAAACTAATGCGTGTGCCTTGAAAGAAAAAGAGTCAGCAAAACTAAATAAAATGAGTTTTGAAAGACGGACATAGAAGTCGTTTACAACTACAGGCAATATATTCTAAGGGTGATTGTACAGAATACCCCACATCTGTTGTGTTAAACGATGATCTTCAGGATCTGAAATATAGCTATGGACCCACATGCCATGACTAAAGATGATGTAGTTTGTATTATTATAGTAAATCGAAATTGAGTCCCAAAAACGCCTTATATCGAAGAAACAGAAATGAAATTGTAGGTTCAAGCTCATTGAACCAGATTAACCTACAACATTTTTTACATGAAACGGCAGGAAATTTAAGTTATAATTATCTACAGATGTTTTGTTTTACAATGCGGGACCCTTTTAAGAAAATAAGGCTAACAATAACACGGTGTGACCATTTTAATTTTTTTTTCAAAATGAACCACACAATTTACAAATTCAATATATCCCATAATAAAATCAACGAAGTAGAATTACTTTTACATAACGCAGATTCCAATTTAACCGGACACACAAGACGGGAGCAGTGCGGAGAAAGGTGTGGACAGTCGTTGCATTAAAGGCCCATTTTGCTCAAGAAATGATTTTACTTTTAAAAGCTTTTATTTTTGTTGTCATGTTATAATTTCCAAAAAGTTACTCATTGGCAACTTACCCAAACAATCATTTGCTTCTGTTGCTTCGTAGAAAGTGGTTTTAGTGATTAAGTGTTTTGTATGTAAGTCAAACTACTACATTATTTACATTTTGCTTCAGAATCTTTAATGACAGATATTTTAACATTCACTGATACTTATGTCAGGTGATCAGCATCTAATTTGCTCCCTAATTATTCAAACATTATAAAATCACTTATGTGTGCCTTTTCTTCAGAAGTAAAATATCATTCGATTCTGAGGTCAAATGTGACATTAACTATTACACAAATAACTCATTTTAATCAGTAAAATCGCGGTAAATGCAAAACAGCACATCCAAAAGTGCTTATAGGGAAATGAAGGGACAATGGTTGATTGTTTCTCTAGTTGTCTGGAAAGTGAGGATTTTCTATTCATGATGTGTCCATTAACAAGCGTTCACGATTAACCTTATAAACAAAACTCTGAAGTTGTGTTGATATTCCTGTTCTTCTTTCACAAAAATTACTTTAATTTAAATTATTATTTAACTTATGATTAATCTAATGATCAAGATAATATTGATAAAACAAAGCACAAATAAACAGTAAGGAAAAACAATTTTGACTAAAAAACATTTTGCCTTTTAAATCCCGGCAAATTTTGTTTGCATACCGAGTAAATTTGGTCCACTAGTGCTTCCAAGCGTCTTTCCTACAATGACAAAAGATGAATTCCCCGACGTTGTGTTAACTCTGTCATTGTATTTGTATTCTGTCAGCGTTTGTTGAAACGTTGCTTCGAATAGGTTATCAGGTATTATGTTTCTTTTAAAAAAAAATAAACTCTTTATTTTATTCAACAATTAATATAAAGAATCTTATCAGCATTACTTATTTTGAGACCTTCTACATTTTAAATATTTATTCTAAGATGAAAAGTTTGGCGTGCCTAACCAAGAAAATGGCATATTTATACGTCATTAACCAACTTATTCCGATTTGTATGATAGATAAAATATATTTGAACAATAATGAACATATATATCACCTAAGCATGTCAGCAAATATATCTTGCGTCTCTAAAGGCTTCGTTACAAAAGCGGATTGAACTTTGTCTCTTCCACTTTCTGCACCTAAAATGCAAAATAAAGTTACAAGAACGAATATAATTTTCCAATGTTCAATCCTAAATTAGCACTCACAGAGTTCTAACATTATTCCTATTACGTTTAAATTAGAAAACCCAGTCGATACTTCCGACTTATAACGAATCATGCAATAATAAGAGAATAAACAAGCCCAGGTTATATATGATTAAATGGTAGATAAAACATGATTTTAAAATAAAGTTTTTCACGACAGAAACCTATTTAACAGACATTTTGTTTGAAAAAAATCTGACAACAATGAAACAAACGAAGGATGAAACTATGTCCAAACAGATTCGATGAAGGTTCAATGAAGGTTGAAACTTTAACTTTATCCGAACAGATTAAATGGAGGTTTAAACTTTAACCATATCCGAACAAATTCGATGAATGTTAGATAAAGGTTTAAATTTTAACTTTATCCGAACAGATTTGATAAACTTTTAAGGTTAAATTCAGGTTTAATCTTAAACTATATTCGAACAGACTGGATGGAGGTTGGATGAAGGTTTAAACTTTAACTATATCCGAACAGATTGGATGAAGGTTTTATAAAGGATTAAACTTTGGTTTAATAACGGTTTTAACTTTAACTATATCCGAACAGATTCAATGAAAGTTTAATGAGGGTTTAAACTGTATCTATATCCGAACAGATTTGGTGAAGGTTTTATGAGGGATTAAACTTTAACTTTATCAGAACAGATTCGAACAATGTTTTCTTTATCTATGTCCGAACAGATTTGATAAGTTTGATACATTGCTTTCTACGATATGTTTGGTATAAAAAATAATTGAATTGAATACTTACCGGGTCGAAAAACGTAGAACGATACAACACCAAGACCTGTGCCCAGAGCATTTGTTACAAATATAAAAACAAATGAAACCATTCCAATTTTTCCGTTGACTTTTGGGTGAAGTGACGCAGTTCCTAAAATTAAATAAAACTTATTTAAGCTTTTTCGGGAAAAAACTATTAACATCACATTTTCCATGATAGATATATAAAATGGTCTTGTCTTTCTTTCAACTTGACAAAGCTATTCATCATTTTATAATCAATCTGGAAACATTTAAATAATAATTATCAACTTCACAAAGTTTTAACCTCCAACGTTTAGAGGGGATAAACAAAATACGCAAAACATGATGATGACGTAATAAAAAATTATTACGGCATCATCATGTTTTGCGTATTTTTATTTGTTGACGTCTACGACGTCATTTCCTGTATACAGAACATAGTGTAACACAAGAAGATAAAAATGTAATTCATTGAAATAAACAAAAACTCATTGATAAAGAGGTATTCATCGTTTGTGAACAAGAATTCAATATATAAACTAAAAGAATAGCGAACAAAACAGACCACTGTGATACGGTATGGATACCCTGGCTAATCCTGGTCTTTACTAGTGGTACGGGTGGAATCGGATGCCGCCAGCTAGAACAGAGATTCACAGCCATTCTGTCCATGTAAAATTCGTTTCACATTTAGGAGTGGATATTTGTTACAGGATTACAATAAATATTTCGTCGGTGTGCTTAGAAAAGGCCTTATCTGCAAAATTGCTACTTTTCAGGAGATGGAAAAAACCGTCTTGTTTTGGTAGGGAAACATCCACAGAAATGAAATTAACAGATAATAATGAACATTTAAATTCATTTTAGATACATTTAATTTGGTTATGATAAACCCTGCTGTTTCATAATAAATGCTCATAAGTCCTTTTCACACGGCAAAAATGGCCAAATAGGTGTCTCAAATGGCCTTATAAGGCCCTTTCGCACACGTTAACATACTCTTGTTAAGTTCATAATGGCATAAAGAGACACATATTACCAGCACGATTCATGTATGTTCCTAAAATAATTCAAGGATTTGGGGAATAAAGTGTTATTATGTTTTAAGACAACAATAGATATTGAAAAATGAAACAAAAAACCTACACACATTCCAAAACATTAAACCTTTTTTAACATGTAGTCAAATTGGCTTCACCAATGAAGTACATTGTATACTGCACAATAACCATGCCAATAAAATCATCAATCCTAATACCAAGTTCTTAAGTTCTAAGAGCTTCATGCCTTCAGATAAGCGAAACATTTAATAAATGTAAAATGATTTGAAGAAAAGTATTATGGTTTAAGTAAAAAAATTATGTTTTTGGTCGATTAATGCGTGTTTTACAATTTTTATTACAAAATTTTATTGCATGACTGTTATCTTTGCATATTTTGTTCACTTTTTGATCATTCAACTGGATGTAAAGTGCTGTTTGAACTTTGTTTTACATGTACTTCTTTTGTTGTTCACTTCACAGTATTTAACATTTCAAAAGAACATTTCGAAATTTTAGTGAAAATAAGCATGAATCTAGATATATATACGGTCAATGGAAAACAAAACATTTCATAAAATGGGCTATTTCTCATTTATCTAATTATTACTCTCTATATATAATAAACATTCATGTTATTAATATGCTGCTTCATGACAAACAAAAAGGTATTTAGCAAATACTAAAAGTGTCACATCAAAACCACCAAGTCATATTGTTCTAACAAGTATTTCCCTGTCTAATGCTTTAATACAATCGCCAAATCGTAAAGTTCTTCAAGAAATCATGCCTTTTTTATTGAACCTCATATGGGTAACTCGGGCGAGCAAGCGTCACTGGCCGTTGACTTCAAAGCACTTGCTCTCACCACTATGGGTTCGAATCCTGACAAAGACTTTGGATTATTTCATGTGAGGAAGCTATCCAGATAGCTTAAGGAACGTCTGTGGTTCTACTTAGATGCCCGTTCGTGCCTAAAATAATGAACGGAATGGCAACTGAAGTCTTCTTCCATCAGTAAAGCTGGGTGGGACATTGCCATTATTATATGACCTATACTGTGTCGCTGTAACGTAAAACCCAATCAAACAAACATAGTTAACAAGAGAAAAAGTGTGATTCTAAGTTTCCTTTCAATTTGACTTTGAACTGCGCCCATCTCCATCTGACCATGGCCTTATTGTATAAGCTTCTGTGATATCCTGACATTATATTAGATTGCAAGTCTTTATTAATAATTTCCAAGTATCAATTTTTGGTATTGGTAACAACAACATTATTTCATTTACTTTATTGTCTTCAGGCTAAATGTTCTCCAGGAAATTGTTTAAACAAAAGCCTTGAGTTTCTCTTTTTCGAATGAGTTTACACTAGATTGACGACCTTGGCCATTTACTGGACTTTGAAAGAAAAAGTTGTGTAGTCAACTGTCCTTCTTTGTCGCATTTAGACTGAAGCCCAGCAGACAATTAAGATAAAACCGCAAGCCCTACCCAACGGTTAGGCCACACGAGATCGCTGAAGTCTTTTAAAAAATATGATTTCTGCAAGAAGTTGTACTCATCTTTTGTAAATAGATTACATGTTATTGCCATCACTTTGCAGTTGTTACAAATCAAATAGTCCAATAATTCAATATTGAACACTTATCATGAGGGTGGTCATCAGACACCTGTAATAAAGTGAAATGGTAGAAAATAAAATAATGATTATAAAATTAACGTAGCAACCATCTTACATAACATCCCAGTTAAGTCGGATGATGATCAGTACGTGCTTTGTCTTTTAATAACTCTAATTATAATCTTAATGAGAATCCTTAAAAAATAAATGTTTCCATATCTATGTGGTATTAAGACAATTATTTATTTATTTATTTAGTAGTTGTATATTTATTTATGTAACTAGAACTCCGCGAGTCGGATGTGTCGCCTTGTGAACAATATAGTTTAGGAGAAATGGCCAGGACAAAAATGAAATTTGAAAATTAACAAAGGGCAATAAATCAAAAAATAAGAAATGCAGAGCAGCAGTTTCTGTGCACTGCACTTCTTATCAATAAGATCTATCATCCTATTAAGTTTCAAGTCTAAAGCCTTTATAATTTATGAGAAATGGCCTGGACAAAAATAAAGTTTGAAAATTAACAAGGGCAATAACTAAAAAAATAAGAAGTGCAGAGTACCAGTTCTTGGGCACTGCACTTTTTCTTAATGAGATCTATCATCCTATGAAGTTTCATGTCCATAGCTTTTATACTTTAGGAGAAATGGCCTGGACAAAAATAAAGTATGAAAATTAACAAAGGGCAATAACTCAAAAAATAAGAAGCGCAGAGTACCAGTTCTTGCGCACTGCACTTCTTCTTAATGAGATCTATCATCCTATGAAGTTTCATGTCCATAGCTTTTATACTTTAGGAGAAATGGCCCGGACAAAGATTAAGTATGAAAATTAACAAAGGGCAATAACTCAAAAAATAAGAAGCGCAGAGTACCAGTTCTTGCGCACTGCACTTCTTCTTAATGAGATCTATCATCCTATAAAGTTTCAAGTCCATAGATTTTATACTTTAGGAGAAATGGCCCGGACAAAAATAAAGTATGAAAATTAACAAAGGGCAATAACTCAAAAAATAAGAGGTGCAGAGTACAGGTTCTTGTGCACTGCACTTCGGGTCATTGTAAGAAGCATGCATACCAAGTTTGAAGTCAATCCGACTTATAATGACTGACTTATGCTCCGGACAAGCTTAAGGGGACGCCGACGCCGACACCGACAACGACGCCGACAAAAGTAATCCCTATATATGTCGCCTTTTTCAAGGCGACACAAAAATTACCTTTTTAAAGAAAACTATATGTTATTTCTCCGAGAAAATAAATTCCTACAAGTCTAGGATGTGATTGTAATCTTTAAACAAGCTGAAAATATAAATAAAAGTAATGTATGAATATTAGGAACATAAATATTGTCTTACAAAATATATAAGAAAATGCCTTATAAGACAAATCTCACCAAAAAATGAGCATGCAAAAACGCCCTATTACATATAAAAGTTATTTAAACAGCTTTAATGTAGCTCAGATTTATCAGTTTGGTACATTTTGGTGTAAAGAATGAAAATAAAATCTAAAGTTTACGAAAAACAAGTTAAAAATAGTTTTCTTAGCATAAAATTTCACCTAGCCGACAAGCGTTGTATGTAAAATTCCCATTGCCCAATATATTGATGGTTTTATTTAGTATATTACTACATACTATACAAAACACATCATTATTTCCACTGTCAAATAGAAAAAGCATACCTGATCTTTGAATCATTCATAAGAAAACCCGCGTTTCCTCCGTTTTAACTTTCTAATTTCACTCCAAAAAATTATCGGGCATTTTCGCGGAACAAATTTTTCATCCAAAAATTATACGTCTTTTTCTCACATGGCAATAAATTCATTTTCCGATTGGCTATCTAAACGGGTGTTTTCGCACAATGCGCGCCTCGGTTTGTTTGTCAAGAAAATGACCTAAAACGATTTTCGCAAAAATTGAGATAGGGCCTTTTCGAAGCACACCGACGATTTTCAATATTGGGCAAAATACGTAAAATGTTTTTAAGATATCATTTCCTCAATTGTGGGACTTAACCCTTTCCCTCATAAGCATATTGGGAACATCAATTCAATACTAATCAAACTTGGCACAAATGTTAACTGGACCATTTCGTTTGTGACGAGACACTTTTTTTAGCAACATTTCACAAACAAAAACATGTGTTTGGGGCCCAAATAGGACAGACAATTAGACACTTTTTTTGAGGCCTGAAAGAGGGGGGAGGGGTTCGAAAGTGCGTTGTTTCGCGTATATATGAGGCAAAGGGTTAAAGGTTTCAGGGTGAAGTGTCAAGCAACACAATAAAATAGAAGTTTTGGTAGAACATGTTCATACCTGTTATTACACTGGAGACTATCAGAGGAACTATCATCATTTTTAAAATACGTAGGTACAGCTCACCAGGTAAACCTTTAAAAGATTAAGTGTCAAATAATCACAGTGAATGTGTTGGTTATGAGCATCAGTTTTATTTACATTAATGAGTTTTATTTACATTAATGTATTAACCAAACAACACCAATAATAATATAAACTGCTATCTAAAAAAAAGAAGAGAAACAATCCTTTAAGAAGAACATATTTTATTTGCATTTTCAATTCACATGTATGTAGTCCTTAAAAGTCTGAACTTGATTTTGCTAACAATGATTGGTATATGGATTTGTTTCAGTAATATATATATTAATTTTTACTTTATTTGTAATGTTTTTACAGACAAACATAGAAGTTATGTTTTCATCAGTGATTTTATTAATAAGCATTTGTTTCAAATATTATAACTTTGTTTTATACATGTATAACAGAATTGACAAAAAGGACATAATCTTTGAAAAGAAAAAATCAGGTCCAAGGTAAAGCATACGGTAGAAAATTACTGATTAGAATAGTATGGTCAATTAGAAAAGCAGTGGCATTTGCAGATACAAAAATCCCGTTGAATTGCTATTTAATATATGCATTTGATACAATTCTGGACGTTTGCAATTAAGGAGTTTTAAAACTTGTATCAACCATGAACAATACGCTATTCAGGAGATACAATTAGATATTGTTGCAGTTACGTTCCAAAAATATTATTCTTTCCTGGTGTTTGGTATTATCACATTTTTTCTACTTGCCAAGCCATAGTAATGCGGAACTCGATGGAGAGCTTGATCTGACAGCAAACCCGAAACCTACTCCACATATCACGCCTAACAAAGTTAGAAGTAGCAGAAGGTTCTTCTTAATCGCTATCATCAAACAATCTATTTTTGCCATTCTTGTCCTGAAAAAAATCAATGACCGTGTATCTTCACAACTAATGAGCAATTCACCTAACAATGATCACCACTTTTGTTAATTAAACTTGACTAGAATTTGACAATTGATTAAAAAAATATATCCCAAACTGTGATATTAACGTTCAATAAAATCACTGTTTGGAGTTCGGATGCGAGGAATAATATCAAGAGGGCTACGCGAAGGGTATACAATTTTCATCATTAAATTTAATTGAATTACATAGCAAAATGTTTGAAAGGTTCATTATTAAATAAATATTTATTAAAACAAATTATGCATCCTACTTATATCGAGTTATCAATTGAAGAAAATGACAATAGTGTATTTCTCTGCTTGCTTTTAAACTATAACAAAACCGACCGATATGAGATAAACGTACTACTTGAATGCATAATGTAACACAACTTTCGTTTGCTTTTTAGGCAAGATCGTGCAATTTAACGACAAAATTAACGAAGTGTGTACAAATAAAAAAACTATCTATGGTACATTTACAATAACTCAATACACATAAAATGTTTCACATCAGAGTCTATATCAATTTCATAGTTATAACTCCATATTGAAAAAAAATACTTAGATCAAGGCATGTTTTCTGATTGATAATTTATACGCAGATGTTATCTTATATGTTATACTTTAAATGGCCATCAAATTATTTTGAAATATATATCTAATTCTATACACTCGACAGCGAAATACATGAGCAAATCTGACTTTTTACGTGGTTCGTTGCAACAATGGTAATTAAAGAAAAATAATTGCAAAATGGTTGAAGAAGAGATAGTTTATAACATTTTCATTAAAAGTGTGTTACACGCCTTAAGAGTGTTGGTTAGGGTCTTGATATTTAATCATCCACCGCAAACACATTTTCTCTTTCTTTGATACAAGTAACATACACAGGTGTTCCATATGTGATGAGAAAAAATGCTAGTGCTGTATTTGTTAGAAAATAATGTTGGATCTCGTCATGATTACATAGAGTGCGCAAAACAGAGCCGGACACCATTCACTTCTTAATAAATCATAAGGAGGAGCGTGTTGTTAAAATGAAATAATTTCTCTTTAAAACAAGAGATTTGTAACGATTAACATGTCCAATTATTTAAAAGAACTAGCCCTTCTTTCTGTCTATCATCAATATCTAGGGTATTAAAATGTACAGAGACTATGACCAGCATATCATCAACTGGTGCAGCAGGTAAATGGTTAAATCAACGTCTGTCTAATAAGCGATATGCTTTGGTTTTCAGGACGATTTTCCAAGTGAAGCTGGAAAAACATACTTGACAGAAAGCTTGGTGCAATTGATTGTTAACATAACTCTTTTGAATAAGTATTTAATTTTCACTTTATCAAGATGACAACTTTTGATCAAGGTAAAGTGTCCTTAACACATGTGCTAATTTTGCAAACAATTCAATACACAAATTTATGATTTTAAAGTAAACAAAAAATAATCACAATAAAACACTTGAGATTAATACTTACACCACTTTAAAAACTATTCCTATTTCCAACTGCGTATCAGTTTTGGTTGGTAAAACACTACTATGTTTGTTTGGTAAAACACTACTATTATGTTTTACAGTCCGACAGTGTAAAGATATAAAATTACATTAAAGCACTGTAGAAAGTCGCGAAACGATCCATTAAGTTTTGATAAATTATTCAATATTTGTGCGGAAAATTTATCAAATAATAATTTGTTAATGTAGGCACGTGACTTTCAACAAGCCTGCAACATTTTCAATTGTGTCGTTTTGGCGTTCATAGGAGATTCTGTGTTTAAAAAAATACACACGGGGCGGATCAAACAGAATGTAATAAAACAAGAGGGCCATGATGACCCTGAGGTCGCTCACCTGTATATAGGCCCCTGGAGCGGGGCCAGTTTAAACCCCAGGGCTTTTATTTGAACAAACTTGGAAGACACCCATTAGAAGATGTTTCATGATGTTAAGTTTTTACTACACACATATAATGAAAAACAATGACCTTCCCACCCCCCCCCTCTGGCAGGGCCAATTTTAATCCAAAGGCTTTTATTTGAACAAACTTGGTAGACACCCATAAGATGTTTCATGCTGAACATCTAAGCTCTAGCTCATTGGGTTCTTTAAAAGAACATTTTTTTAAGTTTTTACTATACACATATAGTTAAATACAATGACACCCTAGGGCGGGACCAATTTTGACCCCAGGGCTTTTATTTGAATAATCTTGTTAGACACTCATAAGAAGATGTTTCATGCTTAATATCTTAGCTCTAGCTCTTTGGGTTCTTTAAAAGAAGATTTTTTTAAGTTTTTACTATATGCATATAGGGAAAATCAATGACCCCCTGGGGCGGGGCTAATTTTTACCCCAGGGCTTTTATTTGAACAAACTTGGTAAACACTCGTTAGAAGATGTTTCATGCTAAATATCTTAGCTCTAGCTCTTTGGGTTCTTTAAAAGAAATTTTTTTAAGTTTTTACTATATGCATATAAGGAAAATGAATGACCCCCTTTGGGCGGGGCCAATTTTGACCCCAAGGCTTTTATTTGAACAAACTTGGTAGACACCCATTAGAAGATGTTTCATGCTAAATATCTTAGCTCTAGCTGTTTGGGTCCTTTAAAAGAATTTTTTTTTAAGTTTTTACTATTTGCATATAGGGAAAATCAATGACCCCCTGGGGCGGGCCAATTTTGACCCCAGGGCTTTTATTTGAACAAACTTGGTAGACACCGATTAGAAGATGCTTCATGCTAAATATCTTAGCTCTTCTTTTTTGGGTTCTTTAAAAGAATTTTTTTTTAAGTTTTTACTATATGCATATAGGGAAAATCAATGACCCCCCAGGAGCGGGGCCAATTTTGACCCCAGGGCTTTTATTTGAACAATCTTGGTCGACATCCATTAGAAAATGTTTCATGCGAAATATCTAAGCTCTAGCTCTTTGGTTTTTTTATTAGAAGAATTTTTAAGTTTTTACTATATGCATATAGGGAAAATCAATGACCCCCTGGGGCGGGGCCAATTTTGACCCCAGGGCTTTTATTTGAACAATCTTGGTAGACACTCATTAGAAGATGTTTCATGCTAAATATCTTAGCTCTAGCTCTTTGGGTACTTTAAAAGAAGATTTTTTTAAAGTTTTTACTATATGCATATAGGGAAAATCAATGACCCCCTGGGGCGGGGCCAATTTTGACCCCAGGGATTTTATTTGAACAATCTTGGTAGACACTCATTAGAAGATGTTTCATGCTTAATGTCTTAGCTCTAGCTCTTTGGGTTTTTTAGAAGAAATTTTTTTAAGTTTTTACTATATGCATATAGGGAAAATCAATGACCCCCTTGGGCGGGGCTAATTTTGACCTCAGGGCTTTTATTTGAACAAACTTGGTAGACACTCATTAGAAGTTGTTTCATGCTAAATATCTTAGCTGTAGCTCTTTGGGTTCTTTAAAAGAAATTTTTTTATGTTTTTACTATATGCATATAGGGAAAATCAATGACCCCCTGGGGCGGGGCCAATTTTGACTGCAGGGCTTTTATTTGAACAAACTTGGTAGACACCCATTAGAAGATGTTTCATGCTAAATATCTTAGCTCTAGCTGTTTGGGTTCTTTAAAAGAAATTTTTTTAACTTTTTACTAAATGCATATAGGGAAAATCAATGACCCCCTGGGGCGGGCCAATTTTGACCCCAGGGCTTTTATTTGAACAAACTTGGTAGACACCGATTAGAAGATGTTTCATGCTTAATATCTTAGCTCTACTTTTTTTGGTTCTTTAAAAGAAATTTTTTTAAAGTTTTTACTATATGCATATAGGGAAAATCAATGACCCCCCAGGAGCGGGGCCAATTTTGACCCCAGGGCTTTTATTTAAACAATCTTGGTAGACATCCATTAGAAGATGTTTCATGCGAAATATCTAAGCTCTAGCTCTTTTGGTTTTTTAGAAGAAGATTTTTTTAAGTTTTTACTATATGCATATAGGGAAAATCAATGACCCCCTGGGGCAGGGCCAATTTTGACCACAGGGCTTTTATTTGAACAATCTTGGTAGACACTCATTAGAAGATGTTTCATGCTTAATATCTTAGCTCTAGCTCTTTGGGTACTTTAAAAGAAGATTTTTTTTAAGTTTTTACTATATGCATATAGGGAAAATCAATGACCCCCTGGGGCGGGGCCAATTTTGACCCCAGGGATTTTCTTTGATCAATCTTGGTAGACACTCACTAGAAGATGTTTCATGCCAAATATCTAAGCTTTAGCTCTTTGGGTTTTCTAGAAGAAGATGTTTAAAGTGTTTTCTTTTGGTTGCCATGGCAACCAGAGTTCTGCGACGGACGACGTTCGACGGACGAAGAGTGATCCTAATAGCTCACCCTGAGCATATGCTCAGGTGAGCTAAAAACAAATGAAAGTTGTTTTTGTCAGTATGGCTATGCTGAAATCATGTGCATTGCCGGGAAAAGAAAATCGTTGTCTGTTATTAATCATACAGAACTTTCCCATATTTGCTTTTATTATAATCTTTTTCGTCACTATGATTGACACAAGTCCATGCAAAATATCAAAGTGATGCAGTCTGATTTTAGACTTCACACTGCACACTCTTCAGGAAATGAAAAGAGAATGTGAAAATAATTAAGTTTTCATCAGTATGGCACTTTAAAATGGTAATTTGTCAGTGATGAATGAACATACAATTCTAAAATAACTTACGAAATTACGTAAAGCATGTATCTTTCGGAGAAAGATATATTGACACGTTTAAAATATATAGTTGGCTGAATACTTTGTTGCAACTTATAAATACATTTCTCTTAGATGAAACTTGTAGACTCGGTTCGATTAAGCCTGTTAACAAGTGATAACCGTCTGTCAATTCTCATGCCTCCAGCACAAAATCACCACTACCTTGGGGTGGGTTTCAGCCACCTATATAACACTGGGAAATGACAAATCATTTTTTGTCAAAGTTGCATTTTTTAACAACTCCTGAACACATTTGAATCTAAAATGCTCCTGCAAGGGGATTTTCTCGTAGATCACAATCAAATATGGCCTTTACATAAATTTAAACTAGCCTACGCTTCAGTTGTGTGTAATATTTAAAATATTATTGCATTATTAGCTCTGGACGGGTCAGCGCAGTAGTTGTATATTGGACCTTTTTGCAAATGCGTATTCTTACTCGGATGTTATTAGGTTGTAGACATGTTACCTTAGGAAACGAAAACAGAGTAACCCGCGTGATTTTGAGAGAGGCTAAAGAGACAAAATTTGATGTTTTACACAAGTTAAGTAAGTCATTAAAATGTAAATGTAAAAAGGAAAATAGAAAATATATTCAGAATAGTCCGATTTTATTGAAGTGTTGCAAGCCTGTTCATTATTGAGTCATTTTGCACAATAAAAATATTATTTTGGATTCTGGAATGGACTTAAAGATTGCACACAAGTGATCAAAAGATACACAAATCTGAGACAGAAAGACTCTTTATGTCAATAAAATTACACTGTGGAATCCTTATAATAATCGAATCGAATTTTCAGCAGTTTTAAAGATACTTTTATAGTGCAAAGTAAATTTTTGAATAACCAGTTTTTTCATCATTTTTAATATTCTTGGTGGATGAAGGAAAGTTAAATACACCACACGATAAAGTCTGCTATATGGTTGATACTTTGCTTTTGACGTAGAGTAAATAGCTTCTATTTATGTGTCACGGAAGAATAATTAATAAATTTATATATGGGATCATTCACACTTGATGACACTCATAAGTTTAATCAGATATGTAGACACATTTATCTTTAACAAAACAGCAATAAAAATCTTTCGCCTTTAATGTTTTTTCTCCATCTAAATGGTTTACACCATTTTTTGATAATAATATTAATATAAATACAATACTTATAATACCTGATAGTGAAAATACATATGATATACAGACTTTTTAAAATTATTTATCTTACTTTATGATACTATTATTTCAGCTAAGAGGGAAGGTAAATTACGAAACTCTCTTGATTTATAAAAAATATTGTGATACTTGGAAGCTAACCGTTACAATACAAAGTTCAAGAGGTCATTTCAAATTATGTTCATAGCGCGTTTCTTTTACTGAAAACAACGCATTTTATTACCTTTACCCCCATTGTACTCATCATCCAAAGCAACATTTTTCTACTTAAACCGAGAGTTCAGGACACCATTTTATGAGTCCATTGTACGATTTTTGTCACGTGATCATCCGAAGTGTTACAGATTGATATTTTCAATAAAACAATCAAACCTATTCTTTTATACGGATCTAAAATATGAGCTTTGGAAATTATGATATAATGAATGTATACAACTTAAATTCTTAAGTATATTTTAAGAGTAAAAAATCAGCCCCAAACTCTATGATATATGGAGAAACTGTTGTAACCCGCTATCTTTAGATATTGAAGAGAAAACTAATCGCATGTTGGTCAAAAATATGTAATGTTAATTCAGATACATAGCCAAATAAATCATCTTCAATCTTTTACAAAAATGTAGTTAACATGGCTATACATTGAACACTGAATCATAAATAAAAATATCCTTTTAAATGCTTCATTACCGCATTTATTGATTCCTCTTACATCAAACTAAAGACAAAAATATACGAGTATATATAATATACAATGTATTATCTGGATGCTTTTATTCAATTTTAAGCAATATCTAAATAAAAAAAAAACGTGAGCAAAATTGCTCTCATAATTTTTGTATTATTTGTTTAACTATTTATCATTATTCTCAATGTTTCCGTTCAATTCGATAGCCATAGTTTCTGCCAGCATTTTCTGATTTTCCTCACTCGTTATTTCCACCTGAATATCATCATTGACCTCTATATCATCCAGCATGTTTTTACACATGTGATGGGTTACAGCTGCACACATTGTGTGACTGACAACACTACTGGTAGTCCTAACACGATCTCTGCAAACAAACACATAAAACCGATGAAAATTATAGTGAATCGGTCACCAAGAATGCAGTCCCAGTAAATGATTCTAAACGATTGCTTTTAACTTCATAAACGATATTTTAAAATATAAAGAAAAGTAAATCTTTCAAATGATAATTTCTTATATTCTTCAGTCAATTTTATATGAATATGAACTTTGTTTAAGCTTCTCGGTAATGTCTTTGATATGCTTAATATAAACTTTCGTTATAGGTCACTCTTTAAAATCTTTGAAATGATTATGAATGTTTGTTTCAAGCATCCGGCTTTTTCTCGTAAGAGCTTTTGGTTTAACCTTCTCATACATGTATTTGATATAAAATAGAGAGAAATAAGAATCCCTAAAGAAAGCCCAACACGGCAAAATTGAAAATGTTGCAGGCTCGGTTTGATTGAGCCTGGTAACGGAGGGTACTGGTAAAATGAAAGGAATTATATGGTGATATCGATAATTGTATTTATAACTTACAGGAAAAACTCAACGGCAAGAAGAAGGGCAATTGGTTCGATGGGAATACTAAGAGATGACAGAATCATCACGATAGTAACAATTGATGCACTTGGTACTGACGGAATCGCCAAAGCAGACATTGTTGTCAGAAAGCTGAAATATGAGAAAAGAACAACTCTTTTTATGTATAAATATTGTTTCGATGGATTCGCGGATGAACGCAAAAAGGTTAAACGTGTAATGAACGTTTCAATTTACAGTATAAAATGAAATAATTATATTTTCACTAAATTATTTTTTCTTGTATAATAAAGTTATATACGTTAAAGGCTGTCTAGTAAATATATTTAGTCATTGACGGATACAAGTAAAAAACAGCAGAGAAACCTTAATCCTTTAATTCTTGATCTGATGAAAACTTTTCAATTGTAAGTACAAATACTGTTTTAACCTTCTCATTGTTCGTATGTTTTTTGTTGTTTTTTTTAAAAAAAAAAGAAAAAAGACACAAATAATTTTTGAAAAGAATACCACTATATTATACCAGTTAGCAGTTTGTTTTGAGATCGTACAGTACTGCCTAGTGACCATAGGGGTGAAGACATATTTCAGCATGTCAAATGAAAGTCACTGTACAGATGTTTCAATTTTATATATCTAAATGTATAAAGGAAAGACATTTGTAAAGGAAAGTGCATGGCGCCCCGATGCAAGACCAATTCTGACCCAATGGCTGTTTTTAAAAATCTTGGGATATTCGAAGACAATTTTTTAATGCCAAACATCTAATATATAGCCCTTATTTTTTGTTTTGTTTTGTTTAGCAGAAGATGATCTTTGGGGGACAGCTACCCCGTAGTAAGGTCATTTTTGGCCACATGGCTATAATTGGAATAATCTTAGTAGATGTTGGATAAACGACAATGTTTGATACCAAATAACAAGTAAACTTTTTGATTTGAAAGAGAACATTCTTAATATTCTACTATATGTAGATAATGAATTATGAAAAAGAAATCAAACAAAGGAGGATGTCTTTCAATGAAGGTATCCCCAAACCCAGGACCACCGGCAAACAGCTCATCAGGGCATCAAACAGATCTTTAACCCAAGGGTGGGGCCAATTTAAGGCTATAATTTGAACGTTCTTGGAAGAGGTCAGCTATAAAATCTTTCATGTCAAATGCCTAAGGTTTACCTAAGAAAATTGATTTATATTTTATGTTTATAGGAAAACCCTATGATCTTCCTAGTTCTTTTTTGTTTGCCCCGTTAACCAAATTTCTGCATGAAAACATAATAATATTACAGTTAAGCCTCTAACACATGGTACAATCCTGACAAGTTTGGTTGAAATCGGACTTGTTGTTTGAAAGAAGTAGTTTATTTTAATTTCAAGATGCTGCGGTGGTATAAAAAATCAAAATTTTACCAAACAGTTAAGACGGTGACAGTTGTGGTTGGTATTCCGGAAATATTTGACAAAAACAAACACGAGCATGCAATAAATACAGCACTTCCATTTGCACTCAATGTGACGCTGAAAGGAATGGTAAATCTTGTAATTCTCTTATCAAGTTCTAACTTTACTTCACAGCTTGTCAACATTTCTGGTATGGCAACTGCTCTGCAAAAAATAAAAATAAATATCTTACCATTGTGTTTCTGATAAGTGCCATGTTAGATCATTTCAATTTACAGTACTACATTCTGCATATACAAACAGAGATAATAAAAAAATACTTATTATATTTTATCTATTAACCACCTCGGGAGTATCCTTGATTAACAATTACTCATAAATTGACCCCATAAGTAAAATGGTATGGAGCAATGCAAACAGTTTACATGATTTCATAGTTCACATCGAAATAATATAATTGAAGTGCAAGTCAGATATTATAACTGTTAAGCTTTGATCAAGATTGTTATGTAAGGAAACAATACATTATTATAAATCACTAACAGTTTACCATGATTCAATCAAACTGGAAATGAGTTACTCCTCCAAATTTTATAACAACAACAAGAACAAAAAACCCTTATCGATAGTAAAATAAAAAGTTGATATACTTTAGTTAAATGATAATCTGTTTGGTTTAATACGCTTGATCTGTTTAATCAATGCATAAGAACTGACAAGTTGTACTCACGTGCTTGAAGCAGCAAAACTTATCAACCACGATCTTGATATTGCCGACATATGTCTGAAAGGATTCCGTCGTGTTAGCACAAATAAAACTAAAGGCATAACAATGATCTGTTGAACAAAACAACCAACTACAACCGCAGAAATAAACAGTCCAAGGTCACGAAACACACTTCCAACATCATCCAGTTCAGCTACAGGCACAAGAATTAGACTGAGGACCCCCACAGGGGTTGTCCTATTAAAAAAAAAGAAATTAAAATAATATCTTCTTATCTGAGAATAATTTCATTTATGTAGATAAACGTATTCATCAAACTACAAAGAATCAAATGTATCAAATCTATTTAATATTTACCATAGTAACCACCGGATAATGATGATAACTACCCGGGTTAATGCATCTAAAACATCTATCAGTGGTCTTCCCTGTTTACCTAGAGCTGACGTTGCCATTCCGAGTAAAGTGCATGCAAAAATTAAACCTGAAAAGAAACTTTGCTTTTAAAACATCTTTAATATACATTGCAAACAATTTATTTAAATACATTCAAATTTTAAAAATGAAGACCTAAAATATTGCAGGTTTGGTTTGATTGAGTCTGTTCTCCTTTCGCAAGAATAACTTTTACTGAAGTTATTACTAAATAAATGATTAATCTAAATTAATGATATCAGAATAATGATCAATAAGTAATAATAAAAATAATAAAGCACAAATAAATTGATAAGGCAAGAAGGAATAATTTGAAAACACATTTTGACTTTAATCTAACTCCGGCCATAATTGTTTGAATACCGAGTAAATTTGGTCCACTGCTGCTTCCTAGCGTCTTTCCTACGATGGCAAAGGATGATTTCCCTGACGTTGTGTTTACTATGTCCTTATATTTGTATTCTGTCCGCGTTTGTTGAAAAGTTGCCACGAATAAGTTATCAGGGATAATGTTTCTTAAAAAGAAATTTTCTCTATAATTATTCAATTCAAAAATAATTACCAAATATGCAAACAATTACTTTTTTACGACTTTCCATTTCTCAGATATTTATTCTTATTTCTATGCAATAAACTGACATGTTTTTCTTCTATTGTCCTTGGTCGCTCAACCTGACATGAAATTTCTTCAAGCATGAACAGTTTGGCCTACCCACCAAAGACAAACATACAGTTTAGACGTCAGTAATCAACTTCCTTCATTTTTTATGTTATAAGTAGAAGATGTTTGATTCCAAGGAAGACATATTAGATTTTATAAAGGGACTAAACCGTCTCCAAATTTGTTTCTATATGTCAGACTTTGTTCCTCATCTCCTTTACTTAATTTCAACACCTTGGCGTTCCGAACATTGTATTGAATTATTAAACAAATTCACCTAAGCATGTCAGCAAATATATCTTGCGTCTCCATAGGTTTCGTTTCCAATGCAGATTGAACATTGCTTTTTCCACTTTCAACACCTGAAATACAATAAGTTTGTTTGTTTGTTTGGAACGCTATAATAAGCTAAACATGTTATGTAAAACTTTGTAAATGACAATAGAAATGAACCCATTAAATCCTAGAATACAAGTTTATCTCTTTCAAATAATCAATTATGTTTTTTTGATGTAATTGTATTAAAAAGTTCTTTGAGTGAATTTACAGAATAAAATCTATTACGGGCCTGTGAAAAATCATGACATTCAAGAAGAAAATGCTTGACAGTAAAATTTTCATTACAACTTAAACAGAAATGGGCATTGTCATTTGTAAGAAGATAAGAATGGGTTATTTTACTGTGTCCAATTCGGCATCGAAGAAGAACTGTTTGATCACGGCGGTTTTATAGAAATAGAGATGGTGACACATCAAGTGACGGGTTTATATCGTGAAGTTTATTAAAAACGGCATTGACCCAATTTGCTTCCATTCAGATATTACGAGTTTATTTATAGCCGGTGTAAAGTCACAAGCTGGTAACAATAAGTCAGTTTTTTGAAAAGCTAATGATTGTTTAGCTAAAGCATCTAATTTTTCATTTCCTCGTATTCCTACATGACTTGGAATCCAATATAATTTAACATATTTTGTTTTTAGTATATCATGAAATCGTAAAAGAAGTTTCTTTACCATGATATTGTCAGATTTTTAATTGATTTTTAAACAGAAAGCGAGTCAGAAAATATCACAAATTTATCGTGGGTATGCTGTGAAATGGTCGACAATGCTAAGTCGATAGCTTTTGCTTCAGCAGTAAAAGTTGAAGCATTATCTGGTAACCTCATACTAGATGTAAAATTTTCGAAATACAATAAGAGGGTAAAAGAATGAAGATATTTTTTTCCAATTTCTAAACATAGATTAACACTAAGATTGTTCGAACATTAGTTTGTACTTCAAACTAATTGCACAAACAATACAATTATGAGAAACTAAACGTTTTCAGGTTAATATGATTAAATGGAAGATAAAACATTAATTTTTATGTGACAGCAATAAGGTATAACAGAACAAAAACAAAACTGTTACATTCTTTTCGTTTAGAGAATGATTTGGTCTTTGTACATTCCCTAAACGCATTGACAACAAAAAATGCAAATGTAGGTCAAAGCTTTCTCCGAACAAATTTGATTTTTATTAATTCTTTTTGATAAACAAGAAAATATATTTTTCGATATGATATCATAAGTTAAGACATAGGCATAAACAAAACTGCTTTCTACGACTAGTTTGGTATAAAAAGGTAGGTAACTTTAATACTTACCGGGTCGTAAAACGTAGAACGATACAACACCAAGACCTGTGCCTAAGGCATTTGTAATAAATACAAAAACAAAGGAAACAATTCCGATTTTTCCGTTGGCTTTTGGGTGAAGTGACGCAGTTCCTAAAATTGAATAAACAGGTTACAGCGTTTTTGGATAAATTATATATCACATCTTCAACGTTAGCTATATTAAATGACCTTGTCCATCTTTCAATCTGGACAAAACAATTCATAATTTGTAAGGAAATTTCAAAATATGTTAAAAGTGAAACGCGAACAATATATAGACCATTAATATGCGACATGGGTACTGTGGCTGATCATTGTCTGTACTGGTCTGTTGCCGTTCTGTTTCATGTAAACTTCATTTAACATAGTTGAGTTGGTACTTGTAAAATGATTACAATATTTTCAACAAAGGACAAAATATGTAAAATGTTATTTCGTTTCAGTTGTCATTACAAAATTTATAAATGTTAAGTGAAAATTTGTTTAGGGGTGAAGTGTCATGCAACACAATTAAATAGGAGATTGAGCAGAACATGTTCATACCTGTTATAACACTGGAGACTATCAGAGGAACTATCATCATTTTCAAAAGTCGCAAGTACAGTTCACCTGGTAAACCTTAAAAAGATATAGTGACAAATAATCACAAAGTATATTTTGCTTATGTGCATCAGTTTGATTTTACATTAATGTTTCATTTTTGCCAAATAGCACCGCTATAAAGAGCAACACTCATATAGAAAGCACATACTTTATTTGCATTTCAAATTTAGATGTTTTATATATTGCTTTAAAATCAGCACTTAATAACAATAAATATTTGGTATATGGTCTAGTTTAGGAATTGCGTTTGCATTATCAGTAAAGTTTTTACAGAACGACATGACATAACATTAATTATGTTTGCATGAGTTATAACATTTTTTTTCTATTATTTTATCTTTTTTTTTTAAAGGTATGAAAGGATTGAGAAAACATAATTTTTGAATAGCAACAATCAGACCTAAGGTAAAACAAAAATGATATCAATATTGCTGGTCAGAATAAGTATAGTCAAACTTTGCTTAAAAAGACAGAGTGGTTGGTAAACAAATCCCATTAAATTGTGTGATTTAGGCATTTTTATAGTTTCAATTACAATTAAGCTATTAAGGAGTTTTACCGTGTTGATTAAGATACTGATCATTGTTTTATTTTTTCGGTTATCTTGTTACATATATTTTATCACTTAAAATCGGCAAACACTTTAGATTAAAATCGTTTTCACAGAACTGAAAAAGAAAATGAGAAATGATTAACAAGTTACAAAAGAGATAACTGATTCCTGTTTGGTTTGAAATTTACTTCGTTAACCCCTATCATGTATGGCAGTTATTTTTATGAAATACACTGCAGTCCACATCGAGGATGCAGTTTTTAACCATAATAATTGTATCAAGCATGCACAGAAATCTTTTTCAGAACGATATAGAAGAAATCAAGAATGATAGATACTTGTGGATATTGTGGAGGCTACGTTCTGTCAATGTTATTCTTCAATGTTGATCTATATTCCCACTCTTATTTACTTACCAAGCCATAATAATACGGAACTAGATGGAGAGCTTGATCTGACAGCAAACCCGATACCTATTCCACATATCACGCCTAACAATGTTAGAAGTAGCAGAAGGTTCTTCTTTATCGCTATCATCAAACAATCTTTCTGTGCCATAGTTGTTGTCCTGAAAATGAAAAAAATATAATAATTTTGCGATGACCGTGTTTGTTTTAACGAGTTACAAACCTTTCAACTAATAATGATCTTTTTTTAGTCTTGAACCAGTACTAGTACCAGTTCATGTTAAATGTTGAAGTCCGCTTAAGCAGATGCTAGGGGTCGAGGACGACAGTATGCACTTGACAGTACCGTCCATGAACAGGCTCAATCAAACCGAGCCCAAACATTTTCAATGTTGCAGTACTGGGCTTTCTTTAGGGATTCTTATTTTCTCTATTTTATTAAACTTGAACAGAATTTTACAATTAACATTATTTTATCAATACATTGTTATTTTACCTCTGCAGTTGCTTCTCAAAGCATACTTTGGAATAATTATCGGTTATGGGTGATAATAACTTGAATGCAAAATAAAATACATGCAAAAATATAATAGTTATAACCTTAGCCGGTATATCTTCATTTATTTTGAATTTAAAAGTTATAGTGTCGTTGTAAATTTGGTTAAAAAATCATATTAAGAAAAGTGTTCATTATGTTTTCTAATATATGTATTGTGATATATGTTTTGCCCATTTGAGTAAAAAGAATCGAACGCACTTATCCAACAACAAGATCGTTGTTTTCAAACCTCATGCACCTCTCTATGGATTCGAATCCCGATTGAGACATCGGGATTATTTCATGTAAGGAAGCTATAGGAACGTCGGTGGTTCTACTCAAGTGCCTGTTCGTGCCTAAAATAATGCACGGAAGGGCATCTTACATCTTCTACCACCAGTAATGCTAGAAAGTCGCCTTATGAAATGTACTGCGTTTGTGCGATGTTCAACCCAGCCGAGAATTAAAACCAATTTAAACAGAGATGAAAGTCGTATTTATCAAGAGTTGTTTCTTAACTTATCTAATTATCTAATTGTCATTGTTTTAAAAATACAAATTACTATTTTTCTAATTTACCTTATTTATTCAAGTTATATATTTTAAAGTACAACTTAGTTTACGTGGTAAATCTTTGTCTTCAACTTTATTATATAGTAACAATGATATGTTACTTCCGCTCCCGCTTTATTAAATGACCTGACCAGTATGAAAAGTCCAATGTCTACATGATTGCCTGATCGCCTGTAGAAATATTATATGTAATAATTTCCGAAAAAAGAAAGAAATTTGACAATGTATGACAAACGAACTTCTTCAATGAATAATATTCTTTCGCTTTCACCTGATTCATCACAAAGTGTAATAATGCTCATGTTTTTGTTGTCAAATTGAGCTGAATTATCTATATATTTTACGAGATCAAATTATATACAAGGGATTTAACAGTTATTGATAATTACTAATGATTAGATCTAAAATATATATAAATATAATATTTTAACTATTTTAATCTAAATTATAAAAGACTGTCCCCTCTCGTATTATGGAATAAATGGTATCGGTCGATCATTTACGAATACTGTTTTTAGAAATACCCGCCTTTGGTAACGTGACATGCTTTAAATATATATATATATATATATATATATATATATATATAAAACTGAGAATAATTATGAAAAAATAGATAATTATAATGACCTTTGTCCCAGTAGGCTCATTATTTACAATGACAACCTTTTCACATTTGCACGGGCATAATGTCACTTTAAGATATGATAAGATCATTCAATTTGATGGCAACATCAACGTATAGAAAAAAAAAGCAATAAAACTATGGTGCATAAACTTTAACGCAATATAAATACACACAAACAAATTCAAAGATCAAAATCTTTATCAATAAAAAAGTTATCACTTATACTGAATAATAAGCTCGAGCCATATATTTCATGTTTAATAATTATAAATGAACACCTTTAGGTTAATGATACACATCATTATCTGTTGAAGAAATGTTATCTTAGTTTTCATACTTAAAGTGGCATAATGTCCATCCACGTGTAAATGTTAAGAAGATAGGAAAAAGTCAAAAGTTAGTTTACATTTGCCATATCTGTTTTCAATTTCATATTTTACTTTTATTATAAAGCCCGCGTGGCACACGGACATTTCTATAAATATCCCCCAAAATGAATCGGTTATGCCCAGCTCATTAAAAGAGTGGACATTTAGTCAGTTTATATATTTTATCCTTAACATTTTTAGTAACCGATGATATATGTCTAATAGCAGTTTAATTAAAAAGCCAGTGTGACGGCTAGAGTCTTGATAATTAAACATCTACTGCAAAATACAATTTTAACTTTCCAAGATACAGGTGGCATACGTGATACCGGTGTACATAAGCTTAAAGAAAACAACACATACATTGGATTGTAGACCCAACGCTTATTCGCCCCTGAATATCAAATTATGTTGTTTACAAGCACTAGACATGATTTGTTTAAGTACATCACTACATTTTATAAACAGACTGTGTCTCCAGGTATGCAACATCAAATAGTATTCCATCATTAAAATTTGAAATATTTCATAAGTATACTTCAACATAATTTTTCCAATCCATTTACACCATAACGTAAATGCTCCTTTTATAACTATTTTTCACACTTTCATATTGTTTTTTTATTTATTTAAAAAAACTCAAAACTGGTAGACGGAAGACCTATGATAGAGAAAATTTGAAAAGAGCATATGAGGCTACACTCTCTGGCATGTCCGTATATAGAGCCGCAAGGATATATCAAATGCCAGATTCTACACTTAGAGATAGGACAAGGCACAATGTTTCTGTGGATTGTTTGATTACAGCCAAGCGTCTTTTTACTGAGGAAGAGAAGAAAAAACTTGTTGACCATGTTTACATGTCAACACTAGATTATGGGTACTGTTTAACTGACCTACTGACCTACAGGTTATTGCTGCAGGTTATGCCAGGTCATTAGAAAGAATGTCAGGGCAAAAGCAGGATAGGTTTACTCATTAATTGAAAGATGGGATGATCTTAAGGTTGTTAAACCACAGAAATTGTCTTTGAAAAGAGCAAAGTTTGCATATGAAGAAACATATTTCAGTGAGCTTAAGAGTGTTTTGATTGAGAATGATTTAATGAATTCTCCATATATTCTTTGAATCTGCATTCTCTACCGATCATACACCCCAAAAGATGTGGTTTAAATATCAAAGCTCAATCTGTTGTATCTGAGAGGTAAAAGACAGTAACAGTCATAGGTTCAGCTTGTGTAAAACATTGCTCGGATGTGGTTGATGGGTCAGGGGAGCGATCTAGGGCCATATTGGCCCTCTTGTTTTAAATTAAAGATCAGACGACAACTTCACCGTCTGTAATGTAAGTCTCAGTAGTAGGTTTTGTGTTACCGTAGCAATGTTAAGTTCATTCTGTTTGTAAATTTATGCATTAAATGATACATGATACATGTACGCTGTCTGGTTCAATTATTCCGCAGTTCAGTTGGTAACGAAATTAAATAATAAAAAAAGATTTTTTACAATGCTTTTTACTTTGTATGCGTGCTGGTGATGCAATGTAACAGTGACAAGAAGCATGTGCAATATGACTGAATGTCGACAAATATTCAGCTGTCAAAATGTTCACCTTTTTTGCTCCTCTTTTATTTGCATAGGTTTTTTTGTTCACAATTATTATATTCACTGATCTCTTTGATTTAATCATTTGATTAGTACTTAACTAGTTTGTAACAAGTTTGCTCAATTTTATAGGCATACAACTGTCAATTTTTTTCTTCTCGTCTTGGAAATTTTCTAAATGCGTCCAAACTCTGAATGTCTTAAAATCTTTGGATAGTTAAACTCTACCTGTTCATTTAAACAAATTTTATCTAATAAGATTTTGAAATTAATGATTCATTTAATTTGATTAGTGTTTCATATTGTCAATGAAATTTTATCAGTTTTCATTAAAGTTATGATTCACGGCTTAAGAGATCCTGTAAAACAATTTTTTATGGTTTAATATCATAAATATGATGCTCAAATTATCAAATTGTAAGTTCCAAAAAGCATTATTCATAAAGATATACCCAAATTTAACCTTCCACATAAAAAAGGTCGAATAAAAAATTATTTTCTAACACCTCTAAGTCAATTTTTTAAATAAGATATGAATGCATATATTTTAATGATTACATATGATATGCACAATTATTTGCAGTACATATTCAACATATTATTTGATGTTTGAAACTGGTTTTATAAGCATAATTATATACATAAATATAATTTCACATAATGTATACATGTTCCACATCAATTACAACATACATGATCTTTTAATTTAATCGTTTGCACATGCTAAATAACACTTACCTGAATATATGGTACTCATTAAAATCTTTGACACTCAGGTATATTGACCAATATAAAAGGTTAATCGCATATATTTTGTATAACACATACCGCAGGGTGATGATTATATTGTGCATAACAGTTTATACACGGTCAGCTAGCCTTTCAAAACATTTTATATTGAATAATTAATACTGTTACTTCTTTAATTACAGAGAAAACCCTTATTTTAGAGAAACTGACAGCATCCGCCTATAACACGTACGACAAGCTCGTGTTAACGAAGGCTACTTTTTCGAAACCCTTCAGCAAGCTTTATTTGCTAAGATATTGCTTTATCATCTAATGAGAGGACATGGATTCCTTTTAAAAAAATGAAACATACTTTTAAAGTTTACCATATCAATGAAAAAATGCGTATGAAATGTTTATTTTGTATAGTATAGAAAATAGAAAAGCACAAGCCATTGAACAAGACGAAAGCTGGCTTATAAGCTACACATATGTTATCACTAAAGCATCACCGTCTTTTCGCTAAAAGTGGCAATACTAGATAATAATAGCTATGTTTTCAATGATAATATTAATTGTGATAGAACATAAAAATATTAAAACTAGCAGATTTTTTTTAAATATTTTTTTTTACAATTTACAGTACCAGAGTATGAATTTCGCGGTCAAACGATGCAGCGCATTGTAATTTATACAAAAAAGACTATAGGCTATCGACCGAATATTGAAGAAATAACTCAGGTCTGTCGCAATTTGAAATTTAACGGTTGGAACTAAAAGTGTCGCACTTTCCTAATAAGAAGAATGCCATTTTTTAACCATTTGATTTCAATTTATGATTTCAAAAAATAACAGTCAAAAGTAAAGAAATGATACAGTACAACGATATAGTTAAAAAAGACTTACATTCAATTTTAATTTGATTTCTATTCCCAACTATGTATCTGTTTCGGTGTGTAAAATAACATCAGGTTAAACACCATGAACGTAGCAAACCACACAGTGTAAAGATATAACATTTATATCAAAGTACTCTAGCTAGCCGTGAAACGATCCATTAAGTTTTAATAAAAGATTCAATATGATAAAATTGTATGAAGAATTTGTATAACATAATAATTTGGTAAGAGATGAATTCACGTGTCATTACTTTAATAATAATCACAAGGCGGAACAAACAAAAGCTATTACGTTTTAAGACAATATCTTATCTGTCTTAAGTCATGTGCGTTACTAAAAAAAAATATTTTTGTTGTCTTGATTAATTACACAGAACTTTTTCATATGTAAATGAAGTCTATATAAAGCAATGCTTTTTGATTAGAGGCATGAAAAACAGACTGTTCAGTAGAGAGAATGTAAAAACTATTGTAAAGTTTTCGCAAGTACGGCGCTTTAAATGGTCTTGATTTTTGTCAGTGAAGATATATACAATTTAAGAAAACTTAAACATACATTCATGTACGAAAACACTTATGTTTATAACTTTAGGAGAAAGAGATATTTGCACGTTATAATAATATTAGCGGCTGAATATTTCTAAGCTACTTATACGTGTAATTTTCTTTTTTAAAGTAGTAGACTCACGAGCACCTATACATTTAAACTAAGCCACGCACCTGTTGTGTGGAACATAACAAATACTATTATATTTGTTACAGTAGCTCTAATCATTATAGATAATATAAATCAAATCCTGAAATATTTTTCGTAAATAATGTTTTTGGAGATGTTTTTCTATGCGTCTTTGTGTAATCTATATAAGCCGCCATATTTTTTTTTGTTTATATTTACAATATCAAGGAGACTACCATGTAATCATTAAATTGTTTATTCGATTGAAAAATACATTTGAATAATTGCAAAATATGTATAATAATTGTTTTGTATAATTTATATTTTACAGTTAATGCCCGCCGTCAGTCCAGCTCAAAACCCTCAATCCACAGTCGACGCACTTATACACCTAATCTAAGAATCATATGACATATATATGGGAACCCATACTATAACATATTCATTAAGTACAATGGTAGTGCTAATATGAGTTATGTCACATGACCAGAGACGAATATAAGTAATACACCTTCCTCACATGCCCGGTAATATAAAAAAGTATTAAATCGACACTCTTATTCTGGAACAACGCAAATGCTATTAATGAAATGTCCATCACGCATTTTTGCTAAACACGTGGTGCACTGGACACGTTAACAAATATGCGACGTAGCTCTATTGGAACTATTTTGTGTTTTGACTCAGATGGCATTATGTATCCGGGAAATGACAATAGATAATAGCGCAATTTGTAAAATGAAACGGATTGAAGCTATGGTCAGGCACGCCTCCGAGCGTGAGCCGAAGAACAATGTTGAAGATTGGACTTGAATATGGTAAGTATGGTATTATTTACGAGTGTTTATATGTAATGTCAAGTCAAACAGTTCATTGGCATAAACATTTTACACGTTCATAGCCAATTTTCATTGTTGGCGGTTTATAATTCATAATTAACATAAACATTTGTATTATAAAAGTACACAAATTAATTTTGTTAATAATACATGTACAAATGTACATTATAATTACAATAGAAAATTAAAAAAAATATAGAAAATGTGCAAAAAAGAAACAAATTTATTAGTAATACATGATAATGCACGCTATGTGTTAGATATTTTCCTTTGCCTTAGTGTATGAAGATGACAATGTTGATAGCTTCCTTTTTTGCTACATTTAATTGAGTAGTAAATATGTTTATCTTTAGGATATAGGATTCACACTTGCGGTCATACTCTGGTTAAATCGAATATAAAGATGCATTTACCTTTTTTCATATATTAAGTTAGCAAATAGCATTTTGTGCGCTGTAAATAAACGAACAACAAAAAAAAAAAAAAAACATTAAAAAAAAAACAAGTGTCGGGTCTTTGGAGTATTTATATCGACAAATTCATTATAGATACTTGGTTTGCAGTTCGCAACAAAAATATCTATAAGTACGAGTTTGCAAATCATTAAAAATTGTTAGTCATGCGGAAAGAGTTTTAATAGTTTGCAACCTCTTTTATCCCATAAATCCTCTTTATAAAACGCCTTTTTAAAATTGTGCATTGAAATGGAAAGTGAACAGTTAAACTGACCAAAAGAAAATATATATCATTTACTACTGAATAGAAAAAAACGTAAAAAAACATGACACGTTTCAAACTAAATATAAAAGAATCAGACAGAAAGGTAAAGAAGGTTAAGCAAAATATCGGTATGCAAGTATGAAAACATTATCTTGAAAAAAAGTAAATAATTTAAGAAAATCTTGATTAGAAGGAAAAAAAGAAAGATAAAAATAAGATATTAAAAAACTATTTTTGCAGTAGCAGTTTTATAGATCTTTTTAATAGCACTTACCGCATGCGCAATTTATGTATTCAATTTAATACCAATAAGGATGATCAGATGTATAGAAATATTAAATAGATAATGCGGCGAATGCTGTTTGACCATTTTTGATTTTATTAACGTTTTATAACCTTACCGAGCATAACTAATCGAATAACTATTACAATAACTTTTAAAAGGAAACAATGACTGGTGTAATTTTGTTTTTAAGATGCTACAAATGCGTTACATATTAACTGATGACAGAACTTTCCAAATTTATGAATAATAAATTTTAGTTCATAACGAATCTGCACCAAAATATTCTAAATACACTTGTTGCTATATATCATAGTAACAAACGTGCCTTTGATTTTTATGATTGTCACGTGACCTATTTTGTTTTGTTTGGATTTTACGGCACGTCAACACATAAATGACCATATCGTGCCGAATGCTATAATAGGCTTAAAATATTATGTAAAACTTTATAAATGATAATAAAAAAAGCCAATTAGATTCTTGAAGACAATTTTATCTCTTTCAAATAATCGATGATGTTTTTTGATGGAATTGTATTAAAGAGTTCTTTGAGTAAATTTACATTATAAAATCTATTACGGGCCTGTGGAAAATCATGACATTCCAGAAGAAAATGCTTGACAGTAAAATTTTCATTGCAAGCTACACAGAAAGGGGCATTGTCATTCGTGAGGAGATAAGAATGGGTAACTTTAGTGTGTCCAATTCGGCATCGAAGAAGAACTGTTTGATCATGGCGGTTTGACAAAGACAGAGATGGTGACACATCAAAGGATGGGTTTATATCATGAAGTTTATTAAAGATCTATTTTGAGTATACGGCCCGGGGCCAAGAACTAGTTAAAAGAAAGATACTAAGTATTGTTTTTTAGCATATGGAGGTAGATTACTCGATAGATTTTACCACAGACAGAGCATTCCGGCAAAGTCGTGAAACATTGAAAGCCCAAACTACAGATCTTAGAGAAAAAGGCATCGGGAACAAAATTAAAAGAGCCGATTCCTTTACCAACACCGAAATACAAAAAAAAAATGTATGCAAAAGCCATCCTTGGTTAAGGTAAGATATGATAAACTTGGTACTTAGCGATTGACTTCTGTTTGTTTACACGCTCCTAGGTAACGATAAAGGGGAGCAGCCCGTTCAATTTGAGCGAGAATCTCCCTATGGGGAATTGAGTAGCGGTAATACTGTACTTCATAACAAATGTATAAGTTGTTTTAATGAGGTATATTTCTATGATTATTGATTAATTTATCATCTTTAGTTGAAGAAAAATATTATAGACAAGAGCGATCAGTGATCAAATGTGTCGCCTCATGATGGCCAATTTCATGTTGCAGCTTCAGTGTAGTGGAAGACACAACAATGATTAACAGGGCAAAACATGTTATATATTAAAGGGCGATAAATCAGTAAAAATCATTCAAATGGAAAACTTGTGTAATATATGCGCATATACTTGAGCTACTGATCAACCCTGAAAAGTTTCTTTGAAATTGCATTAGTGGTATAAGAGAAGAGGTCCGGACAAACTTTAAAAAATTATTTAAGGGCCATAACTCTTACAATAATCATTGAACCGGAAAATGCTGACAATATGCACAACTACACTTGGTTCTGATCATTCCTGTAAAGTTTTGATGAAATTGCACCAGTAGTTTATGAGGAGTAGTCCGGACAAGTTTTGTGACGGACAGACAGACGTACAGACAGACGGACGACGGAGAAGTGATCGGAGTAATGGCGACATAAATTCCTGTAAAGCTAGGATGAAATTGACCCAGTAGTTTATAAGGAAAAGTCCGGACAAGCTTTTATGTATCTGGCAACACACAGAAAAAAACACCTTTTTATCAAAGAGCCATAACTCGGCCAAAAATCATTCAACCGGAAAACCTTTGCAATATGCGCAAGGACTTGAGATACAGATCAATCCTGTAAAGTTTCATTGAAATTAAATTAGTATTATAAGAGAAGTAGTCCGAACAAACTTTAAAAATAAAAATTATTTAAGGGTCATAACTCTTACAACAAGAGGGCCATGATGGCCCTATATCGCTCACCTTATGGAATAGATCTTAACTGGATTTTTCTTAATATTTAAAACTAGCAACATTTTTATAAAATACTTTAATGTTATTTAGTTAGTGTCAAATGTAAAGTATTTTAGAGCAAGAGGAATGCAATCAAGTGTATAGAAAACCTCTTTTTTCTTTTCTTTAAAGTATAGGTTGCTAAAAATACACTCCCTGTAGTGTGTTAACATCATGAAAATTTTAACAATGACATCATAATTAACAAGGCGAAGTACTCATTTGGATAATACTTCAATATAAATGGGCGAAAGACAAAAATGGCCGGACCAAATAACAAGACTCATGAGGATGTGATGTTGCAAAAATGTACTACCATTGACCAGTAATGTCAAATATTTTACTAAGTCGGTAAACAGGAAGTGGATAAGCGATAGACCTGAACTGAGGACCACATATTAATGCAGTCACATTACCAAATATCAAGAGGCTATGTTATGTAGTTGCTGAGAAAACTTACGAAAATTTCCTTCCATTTATAATTAATGCCAAAAATTCAACTAAGTCATCAAACGGGAAGTGGATGAGCCACATACTTGAAATC